GATATGCAGACGATAAGCACTTGAAAACTGTACATAATTGTCGAACAGATTCACATCTAATAGTTAATTGATTAATTATTAAATCCAAAAATTTTTTTACAAGTTTTTATTTTGCCCTTTCTAACTTGACGACCGTGTGATTTGTGAACCTGGAGCAGTTTGCTCCAACTGCTCCACAGTAGCTATGCCTCTGACTTCAATCACATGCACAACTGTCCAACATGGATCACTTTCAAATATTAATAGTAGACCAGTATTAAGTACAGTTGACCCCCCTATAACACTGTTGATATTTCCATTTTATATGAATTCCATGTTGTACAAGTCACTTAGATTTTACAAATATGCGAGCCGTTCACAGCCCGGCACACGTATTTGTAAAATCTAAGTGACTCGTACAACATGAAATTCATATAAAACGGAATTATCAACAGTGTTATAGGGAGGTCGACTGGTAGTAGTTATTGATTGTTCTCTCTCCCAGGAGTACTACTACTACTACTACTACTACTACTACTACTACTACTACTACTACTACTACAAATTAACTTCAACCTTCAACTGCAACAGTCTTGTATTCCTATTGAACCCACCAGTATGGTGAAATATTTGAATAGGAAAATTACACAATATGAGGTTACCAGTCTACACAAAATATGATTTAAATGGTTTCAAGGATACTGAGTTTAAATATTTGCGAATTTTTTTTGTATTTTTCGTGAAATTTAATTTGTTGGCAGATCACCATTTGATATTCGACTGTGAATGAAACAGTTTTTTAGTGCTAACATTAGAAAAAATATATCATCCTAAAAATTTTAAGATAGTGGTGTTCACTTGACCAATGAAACTGTTTTTTCATGCATCTGAGTATCACAATAAACACGACAATGATAGGCTAAATATCAAACTCTTTATATGGCTTTTGTTTTAATATTTGTTATATCATAGTATTTGATTTATATAACTACAAAGGTTATCTTACGTAAAAGTTTATCACACAAAGTGACCAATCAAACACATTTTAAAAATTATTTATTCCTCTACACAATTTAAAGAACGAAATAATCTAATAATCTTAATGTTTTTACTTATTTTTTTCCAGGTGATGCAGGGCTTACCTGTTGGTAATTAATATTTATTAATACTAGATAACCAATTAATTAAAACTAAAAATACATACTATTTTATAATTTTTAAATTTAATTATTAAAACTTGCCTTTAAGTCAAAACCAAAATTAAAAATAAAATTAATTAATTAAAATCAAATCATTTGAAAAGTAATTTTTTGGAAAGTGTGGATAAAGTACTTGTTTATCTTGATCGATTTGGTTATATTTCATCTGGGCAGTTGGAGTTGAATCTCTATTTATAGCACTTCTTTATAAACTGTTAGTTTCTGTTTCAGTTGGCGGTGATAGAACATTTTGTTTTTAAATAATATGTACAGGATAAATACAGATATAGATAATATTATATTGCTTTTATGGACTTTGTTATGCATGAAATAACTTACAGCTAAAAAGGTAAAAGTTTTGTTTTGTGGGCCAGGAATAGATTAATCCATTTTATATTGTTTCTTATGGGAAAATTTGTTTCTGTTTTAGAACAAATCTATTTTTGAACAACTTTTAGGAATGAATTAAGTTTGAAGCCTGAGGTTTGACTGTATAAATAAATCATTTTTTCTTGGTATTTTTATCTTTTAATACCATGTAATTTATAGACTGGGCACTGCCATACTGATTACTACAAAATAGTGAGAGTGAAGGTTGTTAACTTCACTTTGCACAAAGCCAGCAAGATTTCCATTTGTGTTGACCAATAACAAACTCTTGCTTTCTTAGCAGCTAAGAAACTGGAAGCACCTACAGTTTACTTATTTAATTCAGCAGATGCCAAGTGATCTGTTGGATTATCAGGCTATATTAAGGCTAATTTAGTAATTAGATATAAAACAATTTGACTATAGGTACTAATTTATCACAAGACAGTGGTCTAATCACCTACATTAGTTAAATTATTTTATATCTAATCATTACATTAAAAATTGGGTTAGTGGATTTATTGTTATATAGAGTTAACTAGAATTCATTAGTTTGATGCTATATTGAAGTATTGATTTTCCTAAATACAATTGGAATACATCAAGGATATAATGCTATAACATAATAAGGTGTGTTTCAAATTTATACGGACACGAAAAAATTAAAGTGAAACCCAAATTTGCTGCATTAAGTGACAAATGTTTTATTAAAAATAACATTTACTTGTTTCCACACTGCAAAATAAGAATTTTAATCAAACATTAACATTTTGTCACTGAAAATAATTTTTTTTAAAATTTTGTACAAAAAAACTGTTACATATTTATCTGGACAGGTTTCAAATTGCAAAGTTTTCTTACAATTTAATAACCAATGTAACCACCATTTAACTTAATTACATTAAATACTCGATTAGGCATTGTTTCAATTAGATTCTGAAGGAATTCAATCTTAAGTTTATCCCAAGCATCTGAAATTGCTACCTTTGAATTATGAATTGTGGGAAAACTGCTTTCCATTGGCATAAACTGTATGAACCATCATCCCCCAAAGATTTTCCATCGAATTCAGGTCAGGGCTTCCAGCAGGCCATGTCATCAGATTAATATTTTTACGTTTAAACCACATTTTTGTTGATTTAAAGGCATGCACAAGGTCATTGTCTTGTTGAAAGATCCAATTTGGTCCCAAATATTTAGTCCAGCTTCCAATAAATGATCTTTAAGCATGCCTCGATACTTCTCTGAATTCATTCTTTGAGTTATAAATGCTAAATCTGTGGTTCCATTGAATCCAAACGCACCCCATACCATTATTGATCCCCCACCCATTTGGCGTTTTGAAAATATTCGTTTTTCGGTTCTTAAATCGTGCCAATAATACTTTCAACCATCTGGACTATCTAAGATGAATTGTTTTTCATCACTGAACAAAACTTCAATCCGTTCTTTAGACTGTCATGTGTTTTTGTGCCCAATCAAGTCTGTCATTTTGTGCTTTAATGAAAGTGGTGGCATTATAGCTTTTTTTCTGAATTTTAACATTGGAGATTTATTTAAAACTCTCCACACTGTTGTGCTGCTACAAGGTAAGTCTAATTCTTGTTTTATTTTTCTTACTGACGTTTGTTTTGTGGAGCAAACCTTGATGATTTGTCTTCAATCTCGAGGTATAAGCTTGGGTTTTGGACCTGTCTTGAATTTTGGTACATCCTAGCCACGTCTTTTTGATAAATAATCACCAACAGTTGATTTTGGACGATTTATATATGCTTCAATTTCTCTTATTGACTTGCCTTGTGATTTATAGGCATCAATCTGCTCTTTTTCATAATCAGATAAATTCTTTGTTCTACCCATTTTAGAACGTTGAACAACATAAAGAATTTGTATTACAATTAGATATGTAAGCTGATTTGTATATTTCAATGCTTGAAACTAAACAATATTCTATTTAAGTCATGAAATGAGTGCCTGTCCGGATAAATATGTAACAGTTTTTATGTACAAAAGTTTCAAAAATATTACTTTCAGTGACAAAATGTTAATGTTTGACTAAAATTCTTGTTTTGCAGTGTGGAAACAAGTAAATCCATGATATTTTTAATAAAAAATTTGTCACTTAATGCAGCAAATTTGGGTTTCACTTTAATTTTTTCGTGTCTGTATAAATTTGAAACACACCTTAATAATGTTATATATTACATATGTAAGCATATATTACAACATAATAATAATATGTTGTTGTAATATATGCTTAATTATACAGTTAATTTGATCAAATTAATTACAATTTAATTTGATAATTACATTAACTGTCAAATTAAACTGTAGTGTTTTATTAAAAGTGTACTTTACAATTGTAATTTTTTTAAAATTCAAATTACCATTAACAATAATTTATTTACAAAAGCTAGTTTTTTAATTATTTTAAATATTTTGGTGAATATGATACCTTCCTGAGAAATTTTAATATTTATGATCATACAATGATATTAATTAAAATAGATTATCATGATGAAATATAGATCTAAAAAGAACAATAAATACATATGTTGTAAAACTGGATTAGTTCATTGCATATAAATATACCAGAAATATCCAGCAGAAATTATACTTACTGAAAATAAAGAAAAAAATAAACGTTTTCAACAATTTTTAAATCATCATCCTCAGGTTATAGTTAGTCAATCATTAATGTGAAAATTGTTATTCATTTTAAAACACATGGAGCAGCATTTTACAACCAATGAAATACTTTATTGGTTGGAAAATGCTGATGTCAAAATGACAATTATTTTTTAAGTAATAAAGTTTAATTTATAGTCTTATATTCTCCAAAGCATGGAGATCTATTTTTGAAGTATTTGCCTCTCTGTAATTTATAGCTGTGTCCTAAAAATTAGCTTTGTAAATTTTCAGAATATCTAGATGTTTTAGTAAGTCCAGTTCCTACTACGATGTATTAATCTTGTTTCATTGAAAAGTACCCTTATATCATTTTCAGCTGCAAATATCGTTAGTGTTGTTGTGGAAAGGCCCTTTTGGATAGAATAATGGTGCTCCTTGATATGCTTGTAAAGAGATCAAGCCATTGCTCTTATGTAGACTCATTTCTTGTTGTATATGTTATAATGGGGATAGAATATACCCCAGATGAATTCTGTGTATTGATTGTACTTGGCATTTTGTAATACAGTATTCTGTAGTTTAGTTTGATCTCTAGTCAATAATGTTGAAAATCCTTAATCATTTGTTTTTTCTTTACTTTTTTCAGTAAGTATAATTTGTGCTGGATATTTCTAGTATATTTACATGCATTGCATCTATAAAAAACTGTTGTAAATTATTAGATTACTTAATACTAAGTAATCTAATAATTTATAAAACGAACAAAAATGCTGCTTGAAACTATTTTCAATGATAACATTTAATGAATTTACTTTTGTATAGATGTATTGGTATTGATTATGAAAATAAGCTTAAAAATGAACTGCAGATACTGGGTGTGGCATTTACAGGTATGTATGTCTAATATATTTTTAAATATGAAACATCAGATTTATGATTGATTTAATTATTTTTTTAGATGAAGATGAGTTAAGAGAAAAGGGTTATGATAAGACACCAGATATCAAATTAGAAGTGCCTATAGGTTTGTATCTTAAAAATTAATTATCTCTGAATTTCATTCTATTTATAAAAATTTTTATTAGCTATAGATGGTCATATTATTAACTGGATTGAAAGTAAAGCATCCTTTGGAGATGAAGAGAATCACAAAACTTATATGCGGGAACAGTACTGGAGTTATTGGAATAGGTATATGATATTCTGTGATAGAGATTTTAGAATGATCACTGGTCATTTGAATATATATTGATGTGACAGTTAAATTTATACCTATAAAATATAGATTTTATAAAACAAATTTTTTCATTCGTTCACCTGAAATGTATAAACTATTTGTTAGATTTGATGCATTTAAAATTGGTTGTAGAGCGTTATACTACATTCGCACTCGACTTCATTCATGACTCACAATCCATGACTCACTTTGATCTCAATTTACCTACAATCTGGATTGTGACTGTCGCCAGACAAACGTCGAGCTGTTCGCACAGGCACTTGAGAAGAACCCAGCTATTACATGCAATGATAAAACTGATATAACTACACAGTAAATCACAAACACCAACAAACAAATGGAAGTTTTGATTAGAAATAAATACTTTTACTTGTCATATATCTAATAGACAGATGTCATCGTTTCTCCAGATGTCTTTTTTTATTTCTTTGTTGATAGCCCAACGCATGTTCTGCAGCCATCTTGTATTTTCTCGCGCGTGTGGGGTTGTAGGATCTCTCTTATGACTGGATCTAGTTTCAAGGACTCTCTTGAGTCAATCGTGATTGAACCTCATTTCAGTCGAGATTGAAATGGTCGAGAGAGGTTGCACCATGGCATAGTTGCCGACCTTGGTTACAATCTAGATTGAAATGCTCGGTGCGAACGAGGTATTAGGATATTATTTACGGTGAATTAGTTTACAATGGTAATTTTATGTCCACAGATGGTATATGATGATTAATTATTATACTTTTCTAATTGTGTACCACCTGTGGCTCACACTAAAAGAAGTGTTTTTTGAATTTACTCTTAGCATTGCTAATTGATGGATCATCCACACCATGACCTGTAGAAAACAGATAGACAGCAATTTCAAGAGGCAATGATTTCTGATCTAGTTTGAAATCAAGGACAATTTATGCTTAATAGAAGATTATCAAAATCTTAGCATTAATTTGGCAAACACAAACATCCCACCCAAAAAAAGATTAACATTCACTTGTTTTATGCTTGCCTTCTTAGTTTTTTTTCTTTTGTTATTCTTAAAGTGTTTCAGAGATTATTTTACCTTAAAAATAAATTCTTAAAACATGTTATTTTATTTGTAAGTTATCTTATAATTATTCTATCATTTTAAGAATTCATTTTATTTTTAAAGAAAAGTTGTTGTTTTATTAAGAAATGTCTAATTTTATCAATAAATCATTTAAAGCATAATAAATTTTATTTTTTTTTACCAATGTAAGTGCATTCAATACAACAAAGTAAGTCTTCTACCATAAACTGGAATTTTTATAAATTATATATAAAAAACATATTATCCAGTTCATACGTTTCATACATTTCTAGCACTTTGGTAGAATAATAAAAAAGTGTTGGAAATGTATGAAAAGGTGTGTTTTTTATGTATAATTCAGTACAACTTTTTTTGATATAAGTATCTTTCTTATTATATATGGCCACATAGCAAAGATTAATTCCTAATAAAATATGTATTCCAACTAAGTAGCATTTCATTTTACTATGAGGTATGTCACTGATGGAGTACAATGACTAAGATCAAAATGTATAGGTACTACTAGTGATACACAATGTTGTAAACATATTAATTTAGATTTTTTAAAATTTGAAACTTTTTATTAATTCTAAAGTATATAGTAATAAAAATAAAATCACTGTCTTTTCAGAGTTATTGGTCTTTAGTAAAAAAAGAAATGATCTTGCAAGTACTTTCAATGTTAACAAAAATGTCTTCCTCAGACAAAAGGAATATATTCTAGAACAGGGGTGGCCAACAGTTTTTGCCCTCAGGCAGTTGGAAAGAAAACTTTTTCCACAGGCCAAACCAGAGGCTGCCCTAGGAAGATTTTGAGGTGGTGCGAGATCTCATTGTGGTTTCACCCCGTAGAGACTGAATTGTAGATAGAGATTACATACATTTTCCACATTATCATGCTTTATCAATATTCTATGCTGTACTTAAGAGATTTGTAATGGAGGGTTACCTCTAACTGCACAGTGAGTTATTGACTTTTTTTTTTTTTTTACGTGTCAGAATTTTTCATCGAGCTATTTGGACTTCAATACCTAATATTGAAAGATTGATTGCAGGTCACATAAATTCATTAGATGGGCCATATGTTGGCCATGCCTGTTCTAGAATGTTAATATTAAAAATTTAAATTAACACATTCTAGGTGGAACAAAATTATGAAATTTGAAGAGTTTAGAATCGTTATCAAATTTGAACGCAAGGAACAAATTAGTATATGCAAAGAAAGATAACCATGTGGAATTGAAGTCAACAGCACTGCTTTTTGGCTTTAGTTCAATTGATCATGATAAATAATACTATTCTCAATTCTGCATGGTTATCTTTCTGTATACATGTATCAATTCATTCCTCCTGTTTGAATTTGATAATGATTCCAAGAAATTCCACTAAAATGTTCACAAAATATGTTACTTTATGAACATTTTAGCATGATAAAATTATTATTGATTTACCTTTTAATTCTATTTCTAGCTCAAGTTTACTTTTCACTCAATATGTTGGTAAAACTTTGTGTTTGAATTAATTATAGTTCAAATACAAAGTTTACAAAATAAAAGTTATGCAAAATTTCATATGCTTACTTTGTTATCTTACTTCTTACTCCAGGTTAAAGTTGTGCCAATATTATTTAAAATATATATATCAAATGACAATAATTGTTGGTAAAAATTTTAAACAAAGATGATTCAAAGAGCTATTTAGATTATTGATATTATTGTGTTAACTTATGTTGTTTCACACATGACAAATCAAATATAATTATTACCGTGTTTCCCTGAAAATAAGACAGTGTCTTATATTAATTTTTGCTCTGAAAAATGCGCTAGGTCTTATTTTCAGGGGGAGGTCTTATTTTTTCCAGGAAGAAGAATTCACATTTATTATTGAACAAAAAAATTCCCAAGTCAAACTTAGACGAGAGTGATGTATATCCGGTGTGTCAAACTGTCGCCTTTTTATAGCGTCAACATCGGACTCGATGACGATTTAGTGCTTACTGAACCGTATCACTATGCAAATGTAATGTGGCGTGATTCCTGGCCAACCAATTAGCCATCACCAGCCGTAACGTTATGCAAATCTGTGATTCCCAAGCCATAGTCTTATGCAAATCATGTCGTGTGGCGTAATTGTCTGCTGACCAATCAGTGGCTGTACTTTCAAAAAGCCAACGGCCACTTTCAACCATCTGTCGATGACCGTTACAACTAAAAAAACTTCGCTAGGTCTTACTTTCAGGGGGAGGTCTTATATTTCGCAATTCAGCAAAATCTGTGCTAGGTCTTATTTTCTGCAGATGTCTTATTTTCGGGGAAACACGGTATTACATCAAACCTCCAACCTTAGCATAAATTAGCATAAAGTCTAATTCAAATTTTTCATTGGGTCACGAAGCTAATATATATTGATATTTCTAAATATAAAAAAGTTTATAATTTTATGCTCAACTTCTAAATTAAAAAAACATGTTAAATTGCATAATTTTATTTTAGTTTTCAATAAAAACTTGAAATAAAAATATTAAATTTCATGTTGTGCACTGATTCATAGGGTACATTTTTTACTACATTCCAGTATTGTGTTGTTGTTTATTAAATTTCACATACTTATAGATTATATTACTATATTAAAACAAAGATTAGAAGCATAAAATTTATTTTAAAAATAAAATCAAAATCTGTGAATTTCTAAATTTGAGATTGAAAAATCATGTGATTTGATGATGTCATCATCCCATCCCAATCCATCCAATCCTATGATTTTTCAATCTTTCAAACTTGTATATAGACCTCATTATTATATATATTTCTTATTGTTTGAAGTACTTTTTTAAAATTTATGATTACTAAAGTAATGTCATAGGTGAGAAACCTCTCCCCAACAAACAATATAACATTACTTTGAAAACACAAGTCAATTTAGTGCCAATTTCAGTCACACAAATGGTAGTACTTCAATCAAAATTGGTTGTATTTTGTAATAATTGCCATAAATGTATTTGTCCATTATACCTGTTTTTCTTGTTGCTATTTTGTTTAATAGGTTTGGACCTGGCTTGGTCATCTACTGGTTTGGTTTTATTGAGGAGCTTGACACCAACCAAGACAAGGGAATACTTCTAAAAGATCATATGCCTAAAAATATAAGTTTTATAAATCCATCCTTGTTGATTAAATTATAGAGAAAATGATTGAAAGCTTTAAACTCCATGTACAAAGTTCTATAATATGTTTTAAACTTTGTGTTGTAATTTTAAATAATATTTTGTATTTAAAAACATGATTGTAAGATTATTTCAAAATTAACTAACATGGACTTGCTTAATATTAATAGGAAATTATAAGTTGAAGAAAGAATGATACAAACCTCAAAACAATTGCTGTTTATATTCTTGAGGAAGGTACTTGATGACATAAATCTCAAAAAATTAACAGACTTCTGTTATCATTTTAGGGATGGACAATCTCTTTGAACAAGTAAATTTAAATTGTTTGAAGAGTTTGTCACTGATAATGGTTGAAAAAGTCTCTCTTATTAAATATATTACTGATATAAAAGTTCATTATTCTTACATAAATCAAAATATATTAGACTGCTTTGAGGTTTAGACATACTACATAAATGATTTTAAAAAAATAACTATTTTCTAGTACATTCTTCATATAAACAAATAATAAATTTGCAATGTTTAAATATATTCAGATGACTTTTATGAAATAAATTTAGTAGATGACAAATGATTTAAATCTGTTATATAATGTAATGATAAATACAGTAGAGCGTCGTTTATCCGAATCAATTGGGGACTGGGGTGGTTCGGATAACTTATTTTTCGGATAACGAATCATGTACGAAAAAATATATTAATTTATCCCATGTTGAAAATTCTCTCCATTGTGTGTTGCTTCGCGTTGAATTTTCGTCGATGTTAAGCCTAACGAAGACTATTGTATCGTTAAAAATTATTTTTTATTTTGTACAAACAAAATAAATTTATTGAAAAATATAAAAACAATAAAAAATTATACTTCAGATGTTAATTTAGTATCAAAAACGTAAAATATTTGAGTAGCCCAAGAAATAGCTGAAGATTGCAGCGCCACAGCACTAGAGAAAATTTAAATTTGCCGACAGGAATGCTTTCGGATAACCAGCTTTCGGATAAACAACGCTCTACTGTAATACTGTTATGAAATTCAAAAATTGTCTAAATTTAAATTCATGTAATATGAATTTAAATTTAGACAATTTGTAATTTACATGAATTTACATGAATTTGTGTAATTTAAATTCATGTAATATGAATTTAAATTACACAAATTCAGAAGTTTAATGAAGAATATCATAAAACACTTAAAGCTGAAAATAACATAGTAACTCAGTCACCTTTTGTATTTAGTCTAGCAGGTATATTTATTGGAAAAGAATGTTTTTGATCACTTTCAGAGTCCTTCATCAGATTGTTATAAATTTCCATAAATTGAATGCAACATTAATAACATTTTAAAAACATTCTATATGAAATGTGAAAATATTCAAATATAACAATAGAAATTACAAAGTATGTAAAAAAATAATAGCAATAATAAAATATACAGTGGTGCCTCGTATAATGTACTTAATCTGTTCCAGGTGCACGTCCGTTAAGTGAAAAGTCCATTATACGAAAAGCATTTTCCTATAGAAATACATGTTAAAACATATAATTCGTTCCGCAGCATAAAATAACTGTATCATAAAAAAATGAAAATGGCACAGTCACCAATTATGCTGGGTAGTCAGATGTTGTGAGGAGGTGGAGGAACACTTTTTTTCATACATTCATACAGATACAGACTTTTTACACATTGCATAGGTCTCTTTTTATTGTTTTTTAATTGGAGTCAGATTTAGAAGAGGCTACTGGAGCTTTCAGGGTCAACTCCTCTTGTTCCATCCTTTGTTTTTTGACAGCTGGCTTCTTGAAAACATGTCCAAGGTGGTCTGTTTCTCTCTCTTCTTCAACACTTGTCGGAAATGATGGGCAAGGGTGTCATTGTAGAGATCATTGATCCTGTTGACCTCAGCTCTGTTTGGATAATGAGTGTTGGTAAACTCCTGAACACTGATTCATAGGGTACATTTTTTACTACATTCCAGTATTGTGTTGTTGTTTATTAAATTTCACATACTTATAGATTATATTACTATATTAAAACAAAGATTAGAAGCATAAAATTTATTTTAAAAATAAAATCAAAATCTGTGAATTTCTAAATTTGAGATTGAAAAATCATGTGATTTGATGATGTCATCATCCCATCCCAATCCATCCAATCCTATGATTTTTCAATCTTTCAAACTTGTATATAGACCTCATTATTATATATATTTCTTATTGTTTGAAGTACTTTTTTAAAATTTATGATTACTAAAGTAATGTCATAGGTGAGAAACCTCTCCCCAACAAACAATATAACATTACTTTGAAAACACAAGTCAATTTAGTGCCAATTTCAGTCACACAAATGGTAGTACTTCAATCAAAATTGGTTGTATTTTGTAATAATTGCCATAAATGTATTTGTCCATTATACCTGTTTTTCTTGTTGCTATTTTGTTTAATAGGTTTGGACCTGGCTTGGTCATCTACTGGTTTGGTTTTATTGAGGAGCTTGACACCAACCAAGACAAGGGAATACTTCTAAAAGATCATATGCCTAAAAATATAAGTTTTATAAATCCATCCTTGTTGATTAAATTATAGAGAAAATGATNAACAAAAAATTGTAGGATTACTTACCGAGTGTGCACCGTTTGACGTCGCCATTGCTTAAGCTTGTTTTCGTCGCGGAGCAGTGCACCAAACAGCGGCCGCAATTTCCGATAAGTTATTTTTCTGCAAAAACTTCGTTGAACTTTGGAGACATCATTAATATAAATAATTTTTATGGGCGTTGAATAAGAAATGTATAAATTAGTGCTGTATTAGACTTACGGTACCTAATTTACATACTGTACAGATGATAGTAAACTTAATTTACCCGCCTAAACTCTCCGTAGCGTGGCGCTGGATGGCGGAAAGTAGTTCGGCTGCCCAATGACGTTTTACCGAATTATAGGAGTTTTTTTACCAAGTTTGTACGGATACTGTCGCAATTTTTTCACCGTCATATAGGAATCCGAATTATAGGAACCTGTGTTATAGGGGGGATCGACTGTACTAATATATTATAAAAATAGCAGATTGTCATTGTCATTGGCAATGGCAAACGAGTGGAAACATTATTCGCACTTGTTTGCAGCCAGTCCGTTGCTCGAGTCACGTAACAGCCAAACAGAAAGTCCGTTGTTTGCAGCATCTGTTATTCTAGGCGTACGTTATACGAGGTACCACTGTATAATGACGAAATACAGTATAACAATAAAAATTTAAACTATGTATATTTTACATAGCATGACTAGAGATAGGCTAAAAAAAATTAAATGTTGTGACACACATTAATAACTAGAGATTGTGATGACAAAATTTACAACATTGTGCTAAAGTTTGCTTATAGTTGGAGGTAACATATTGCTTGCCATGTTAGTGATAAGTCAGTGTTTTCTTTACTATTAATGCAATTTCCCTTGAGTATTGCTTTATAAATTTTGATGGCTTCTGTTGTTCTTAGCTTTTGTATATTGAAGATGATGTATAGAAACTTAGATTCCTACCAACATGACACCTCAGGTTCACTTGCAAATTGGACTTTGGCAATGCTATAATTCATTTTTGAGATTATGTACAGTACTTATGCTACCTTATTCTGATTATTAATGATCTACTAGTCAAGCTAATGTAGTTAAGGCATCAGTCAAACCTTGTATCTAGTAAGAATTTTATACACACCTGGGACCTATCTCTGTTCTATAGGATCTTTGTTATTAATTTAAAGACTGTTTTGTTTTGTTTATATGCAATATCTTTGTTTAGCAGTTTTAGAGTATACTGTTTGTAGCCTGGGACTGTAATACAGGGTTAGGTAAGTCCAATCTTAGGTTATATGCTGCATATCTGTGCATTTATTGTTGACTATACTAAATTAGCTAGAAGTATATAAATGAATAATGAGCCATGCTTTGTGGCTATGTTTTTAATAAAGTTTATTTCATGCAGTATCTTTATCTAGGAAGCAGTGGATATGAGCACATTTTATAAGAATTTTAAATGTTGCTGTTTTGTAGCTCCTAGCATCATCAGTGTTTGATGGAATGAAAAAAGATTAGTATGGATTTGTACTTGGATTTACAATGAAAAAAAGATTGGTATTGGTACTTGGATTTACAATAAATCCACATGCAGACCCTTCCATTATGTAGTTTGATTTCTAGATTTATATATTGGACTAAGCAGTGGCCAGACTGCTGTTTTCAGTTAAACCACATTTGTTGTTAAAATCTTGTACTGAGGAAGGTCTCTGAAAGTGATCAAAAACAATATTTTTTTCCAATAAATGTACCTGCTAGAATAAGTACAGATGTCTATGAGTTATTAGAAAAACATTTTGTGTTTTGATATGAACAGAAATTTTTCTGTAAAGATGAAATTAATTATTTAGATTTTAAGCAAATACTGGAATTAAAATATTTACATATGTTTAAAAAATTCTTTATGTAATAAGTTAACAAACTCACAAGTCAGTATATTGGTGTTAAAAATCACAATTAAATTAAATGCTTTTAACAGATTCAGCATTTCAACATAAAAATGTTCTCAGGAAACAATCATAGAAATATGAAGTTTTTTGTTCTACAACTGGAAGTTTATGAGGCAACATATAAAATAACTACCAGTAATTGACATAAGATTGCTTTAGGTTTGATCTGCTAAGAAACATGTAAAAATATAAACTTTGTATAAAAAGTCATATTAAAAGGTAAATTTTTCTAATAATTTTGAAACTAGATATCAATAAAGTAAAACATTTTTTGTTAATTACTGGAATTTTGTATACAGTTGCTGTCTACAATTAAAATATACAAAAATTAAAAAAATATACAATTAAAAAATACAAAATTAAATTATAAAAATGAGAAAACACTAAATTTTTTCAACAGTTACAAAATAATACTAAACATATCAAATAGATTTATTATTTATTAATGCAAGATAAACTAGACTGATATTTAAATCTGTAAAGAACTTTTTTTTTAAAACATGACCATCTATTAGTGTGACACTGCTTTTTGCAGGTTTGCACGAGCATTTTTGAAATCCTTGACCACCGAATAATTATTAATTAGTCATGGCTTCTTGC